TTTATCTTGCAGCGAAAACTTGGGGGGGGGGAGAAAAAAAAACCCCAATATTGTTGAGGGGGGATTTTTTTTTTTTTTTTTTTTTTTTTTTCTAAAGCCATAAGATCTACACTGGTTGCCTGGCCCAGGATGTTGTTCCAGCTTCATCTTAAAAGGGGAAGAAGTGTTAACCCCTGTTCTTCCACGCGTGCCTCCCTGTCACTAGTCAATAAAAGAGTTGTTGGGTGTTTTAGAAGAAGCAGGAAGAGCTGCCAGCTGCCGTGTCGGCAGTATGGGGCTCTGCCCAGGGTGCAGTGGGTCTGGTGGGGGTCCAATGGGGTGCAGGAGTGGTTTCAGCATCAGAATTTTGCTCTGGAATTCCCAAGCCCCTCTGCTTATGGGTATTGAAGTGAATGTGTGAAACTACCCGGGTAAAGACAGACAGAGAAGTTTATGGAGAGACTTTTCTGGCAGGATAGAGAGAAAGCGGGGCTCTGGGCAGCAGATCCCCGTCTGTTTTTCGAAGTTATTTTAAAGCACCATGGAATTGGCCAGTTCTGGAAAGCGGAAAGCTCTGCTTAATCCCATCTTGCTTGTAAGGCAAGCTTAAAGGCGTCCTCCCACCTGCCTCAGTTTTCCGGAAGCGGCTGCGGTCAGCCGAGAGGAGTTTAGCCTGCGCACCCAAGCTGGTCTTTGCCAAAACTGTCAGCAGAGGGGTTGGGGAGAAAAAGGAGGTGTGAGTGTGGGCCAGAGGCCAGGAACATGCTGTCCAGTTATACCCCAGATACTAACCTTACTTCAGGGAAAGTTTGCAAATCGCTTTGCTTGTGAATATCGGTCTTGCTCTGTACAACTGCATTGCTGATATTTGCCTGCTTATACAAGGCTTTATGACCGGTGACTGAAGAGGAAACGTGCAGGGTGTTATTGCTGGTGGGGTGCGTTTAGTGAGGATGGTGATGTCCTGGCAAGCAGCTGTTCACTTCTCCATCGACCCTCTTTGTGTGAATGTCTGCCAGGATCCTCCCCAGCATTATCAGCCACGTGGTTTGCCTTGCAATTAACAAAGTTTAAGAAAAAAATACTTGGTTTTGAGAGTAGTTGGGCTCAGAGAGGGTGGGAAGCACAGGAAGAGGAGGAAAGGGGAATCTGCAAAGGGACGGTCCTGTTCTTCTTATGCATAAAAGCAGGATTTGCTGGAGAGGGAAGATGAGTGACAGCTGTTTTAGAAAGGGCTGATTGTACAGTCCTAGGAGCCTGTGGCTCCTCTTCTCCTGCCAATAAAAGGATGCGGGTAGCAGGTGCAAACTGCGCAGAGCTCTGACCTGATCAAGGAGTTTTTCCTTTTCTTCAGGGTTTGGGTTTGTCACATTTGAAAGCGAAGACATTGTGGAAAAAGTGTGTGAAATCCACTTCCATGAGATCAACAATAAAATGGTGAGTGTCTGGGGCAGAACCTGGGGAAGAAGGGACACAGGTACGGGGTAGAGCGGGGTGGTGGCACAGGGGTGGGGTATGAGGCACTTGAGTCCTGACACTCTGCAGTGGGGATTGGATTGAGTCTTTTCCCCAAAATCACAGCAGCCAGTTTAGGAAAGAAACTCCCAGTGTGGAGGTGAACCAGCACTATACTGAGCTTTTAAGGACAAGAGCTAACATACTTGGAGGTTTTGAAGTTACATGAAACGTCTTGGTGGCCTGGGAGGGGACAGGTTTTACCTTTCTTCAGAAATACAGACAATTAGGCTCTGAGGCCCTGGTGCAGGGCCAGGCAGAGCATTGAGGGCAGCTGCAGGAGGAGAAAAGCAATGTTTGAGCTCCCCATTGCCTGTGGTGGCTGCAGAGGGAGGGGGAAGGCTGGCAGCTTTCAGGGCAGAGGCAGGGATGGTAGGGAAGGACAGTGGGACAGGCTGCCAGCTGTGGCCAGGGCTGGGGACTGCCTGCAGCCCTGTGCTCTGTGGCACGGCTCTGTGCTGGTGGCAACCGAGCCTGATCCTGTCTTTCTTGTGGCAGGTGGAGTGTAAAAAAGCCCAGCCGAAGGAGGTGATGTCCCCAACGGGCTCGGCACGAGGGCGGTCCCGAGTCATGCCTTACGGGATGGATGCCTTCATGCTGGGGATCGGCATGCTGGGTAAGCCCAAGGACACATCTCCTCCCCAGCGCCCGGTCGTGCCAGGCAGCAGCTTAAGAGGTTTTATTCCGGGAGCGAGCAGGGCGGCCAAGGGCAGCTCTCCCCGGTGCAAGGCCGGGGACGCTGAGGGGGGGGACCCGGGACCTGTTTGCGATCACAACTTGCCCTCTGGTGGCACCTGGAAAAACTGCAAACTTGTCACCGCTGCCCTGCGACAGCCAGAGCTGGCCGGGCACAGCCGTGTGCTGGGCAGCTCTGATCCTCTGCAGCTCCGTTAATGGTCCCCCAGTGCCATAGCATATCGGCTGTAATTCTTTAATGGCTCTTGTGGAACACCCTATAACTACATGGTTGAACCCAGTGTGGAGTAATCTGTGCCCAGGCATCTTCCTCCCACGCTTCTTCCGGCTTTCTGATGAATTAGTTGATTAAAGAGCCCCCGAGCTTCCAATCGAAACAGCGATCCATATAAATGTCCTTGCTGCCATTTAAAGATTACAAAATGCCCTTAAAGTTCTAGTTAAGCTTTGTCTCGCTTTGTTCCCTCTCTCTCAGGGACAGCGAGTATCTGGTATTGCAAGGAAAACTGTACACTTATCGTAAGGAGAAATCCTTGATAAGCAGGCTGGGTCTCATGTCTATCTATGATTCTGAGGCAAATGTGTCCAGATACAAGATTAAAATAAGAAAAAAGTCCTCTGTAGACTCTGCTTTCAGGTCTATAAACCCTCATGCCTAGATCTGAGAGTCAGGTGTGATCCTTCCAGTGCAGGGGCTGTTCCTGGTGTCTCTCCCTCCCTCCACAGCTTCTAACCAGGCTTGAGCCAAACCAAGAGCACGCTGTTTGCACAGGATCATCGCTGGTGTTACTGGGCAGGGTGTACTCAGCCTGGCTCTCCTTGCTAAGCCTGCCGAGTAGCAGTTAGTCACTGAACAAAATCCCAAAAAGGGCATTTTTTTCCCCAGTGTTTTCACTTGACTTATTGAGGGGAAAATAAATCTCCAGCCTGTGGGTTTGGGTTTTGCCTTTTTTTAGACCATTTGAATTTTAAAGCAGCAAGGCTCAAGCTGAGTCATTGGGAAATCCAGGTACTCATGTCTTGGGAGATCTCAAATCAAATATTCATCTCTGAGTCAGTGCTCTGTGTTCTCCCAGGCTTGTATAGGTGGGCAGCTTCCTGGGCAAAGGCAGGAATTGTCTTCCTGCCCGGCACCAGGAAGGAGAGCTCTGCCTGCATTCGCCAGCGCTTCCAGTGCAGGAGTGACTCAGAGCTATTCAGCCGTTCAAATGCCCCCACCTCCCTGATCTCCTCCTATTTGCAAATCCAGCTGATGCATCAGAAAGTCTTAGTCTGCAGAGCTATGAGTTTCTGAGAAGGAAACCTCCATGCCCTTACATGTTTGGAGGGAGGAAAAAAACTAAATGGGCCTGCTAAAACTCTGCTGCAGACTTGCATGTGTGCAGACTCAGCCCAGCCATTTCCTGGGGTTTCTGCTATTAGCCCTGTTTGTGCTAGTCCTAATGGTCACGCTGCTTGTGAGCAGCCAGGCACTGAGGATGTGTCCCTGTTTGTGCTTGTGAGCAGCCAGGCACTGAGGATGTGGACCCTGCAAGCTTGTGGTAACAAAGCTTTTTTCTCTTCCCCCAGGTTATCCAGGCTTCCAAGCTGCCACCTACGCCAGTCGGAGTTACACTGGCATCGCACCTGGCTACACTTACCAGTTCCCTGGTGAGTGGTGCTCCCTGCTCGGTTTTCTGGTCTGCTTTCAGGTGATGGGAGTCCCTGGCATGATCCGTGACCCAGGCTCTGCCCCTTTCGCCCTTTTCCCCTGTTTGGTCTTTCTTTAAATTGGAGACGGATGTGGAAGGGGGAGGGGAGAAGCCCTGGAATAGGTGGGAACGGCCTGTCCTTCATTAGGATTATCCTCACACTCCAGTGGCAGGAAAAGCCCAAGGCTGCTGTGACGCCCTTTATGTTCGCCTCCTCCATAGGGCTGCTGCTGTGACACAGAAGGGCCCCCGCAGCTCTGCCTGTCTCGCTGCCTTTGTGTGTGTCTGTCTCTCTTTACCAGAGTTGCCACCACTCTGAAAGTAGCACAGGATTTTAAAACCTGGTTTTCCGTGGGCCAGGGAACTCCTAGGCACCCGAAACGCAGGCGCCTGCAATGCTGTAGCTGTGTCTGAACAGTGCCTGGACCACTCACAGCCTCCACAAAACATCTGCTGGGGCAGTGGGCTGCAGATCCTCCACAAACTGGGTGGTTTTAAGTTCCCAACCCTGCCATGTGCTCAGAACATGGACTCTGCGATCAATGGCTGGAACCTGCTGTGCCGCAGCTGCTCAGAGCTTTCTGAGGCCTCTTCTTCCTCCCGTTCTCTGCGAGGCAGAGCACATTCAGCGTAAAGACTGTCTTGCTATTTTCTAGAGAAGTGGCAACTCTGAGCATCCCTTCCTTACTCCATCCCTCAGTGTGATGGTTTATATATGAAGTCTTGATGTTAGGGGCTGGGAATGGGAAATTTCCTCTTTGCCTGAGGCGAGCCCAGGCTGACTGTGGCTGAAAGGTGCTCTTGCCTCCTGCTCTCTGGAAGTTCTCTGTGAATCCAGTTTATGGGTCTCAGTCATAATGGCTTCAAGTGCCTCACTGTAAACCAGTGCCCAGATGAATGCGGCATGTACCGAGCACCCACTGGCATTGCAGCCCAGAGGTCAGATTGGATGGGTGGCAGAGCGGTGCTCCAGGCACACCTGAGGCTGCACGCTGAAGCTTGCACTTGCCCTCCTTGGCCAGTTTTCTTCTAAGGATAAATGGATCCTTTCAGCCTCCAGGGCAGGAGTCCAGCACCTTTCAGCACCAGTTATAAATTAGTTTAAAGAAGGCACTGGCCTGGTCGCAGTCTGGCTGCAGGCTGCTCCCCCAGCAGACCCCGCTGCCGTCTCTCTGCGGGGTCTCCTCGGGGCGTTTGATGAGTTCCTAAGCTGTCTTGCATTTCGTTTTTAGAGTTCCGTGTAGAGCGGACCCCTCTCCCGAGTGCCCCCGTCCTCCCTGAGCTCACAGGTCAGTCCCGCTCATTTCCTAAACTCACAAGCCGGAAGGGGAGAAGGGGGCTTTGGGCTGTTCCAGTGGTGTCGCTGCTCCACAGCCTGGTGCAGTTAGACTGGAAACTTTCCTTATTTCCTCTTCCATTTCTACAAGCTCCATCCAAAGCCGGGGCTGGAAAGATGGAGAGGCAATCAGAGCCATGTGTATTGCCTCTGAGAAGGGCAATGCAGGTCATACCAAATGAAGGCATGTAATCCTTAGATGGCGTTTCCTGCTGTTTGCCTTGTTCTTAGCTCCTTGCCCCAGGCTGGGTGTAAACCAGATATGGAAAACTGCAGAGAGCAGGGTGACTTCTCAAAGGTCTACAAATGACCTTAACCTGAGCTGCTGCAAGGATGAGATTCGGAGTGCTGGGAGGAGGGAGAGGGTGTGGGGGCACTCCTGGTGACCCTAATTCCATTTCCTGGTGCAGGAGGGGCTGCAGGGAATGCTCTCCCTGCTCTGGGTGGTGCAGCTGCCCAGCTACTCGCACACAGGGTTCCCGGGCAGAAGTGAGCGTGGTGGGACTCTGCAAAATCCTGCAGTGCTTGTAGGGAACTGTGGAATGAAATGGGGAGCAGAGGACCATTCTCCAGTCCTGGCTCAGTGTCCTCACAGTGCAAATACCCTCTGGATCCTCAGCCCCTGGGTTGTGTGCAGTGTGTTCTCTCTAGGTGATTCTCCTTCTGTCCACTTTCCCTTCCATGGCCATGTTTTCCCCAGCTCTGTCCTGTCCATGGTTTTTGTCGTAGAAAAAGCAGCTTTGTGTAGCGTCCTGCTCCCCATGTGCCATCTCATTTCTGTGGTGTTCCTCCTCTCCAGCGCTTCCTTGCCCCCACCTGTTTCAGGGTTTGAATCTCTCTGCAATGGGGGTATGGAAAAGCTTCCTGAGAAGCTCTCCTGGAATTATCAGTACCAACAGGCTTGAAAGGGTGTTTCTGTGGCACAGAAACTTGTCGATCCTCAGCGAGTCTCCATTCCTGAGGATGCTGAGGTTGGCAGCCACCACTGAACAAATTGCCCCGAGGAAGGTAGGGGGAGACCAAATCCTTGCTCTCTCTTAAGAAAACCCCTCCCTGACACCATGTACGCAACCACATAAGCACCTGAGCGCCACCTCTGAGCCTTTTGGTTGCCAAGCAAAGGAGACGTAGGTCCAGTTGTTTATTTACGTGTGTGTTTTTCAGCAAAACCCATAAAATATGCAGATGAATGTTGGTGACTTGGCAAAAGTGCTTTTCCCTCCAAGGTCCACCCCTGGCTGCACTGTGCCTTTTCCTAACAGAGGTGACTCGCCCAGGGCCTGGCTGTCACCAGCGGCCGGGGTGTGCACCAGGGCTCTGTGCAACAAGAAGTTATTAATGCTGCTGTCCTGGCTGGGTGCCACGTTAGCTTCCAGTCCTGAGTGTCTCGCTGAAGTACCAGCTGGGGATCGTGGCATTCTTCCCTTCCCGTTACGCTTACCTACTGTTAAACAGTCGCCGCGCAGCCTCTTGGCTGGGCCGAGGGCTGCGCTTCCCATGTCTAGGCTGGAGTTGGTCCCACCAAGGGCAGGGCCCCCCTTGGTTGGTACAAAGGCCCAGGGAGCTGTGCGGCGCTCGAGGGCCCTTCTGCCTTCAAGTGGATGCCTGCGCGTAAATGGGCTGCGCTTCACGGGCTTGGCAAGTGGAGCTGAGATGAGGGGATGGCACGAGCTGGAGTGATTGCTCCAGCACCCAGGGAGCTAAAGTGCAGGTGCTTTGTCGTCGCCACACAAACCTGGTGTTTCAGGAGATAAACTGCAAAGGCAAGAAATGTTGTTTTTTTTTCCTGGAAAAAGAACTGGAGTGTTTTTGAGACGACCTGGCCTCCTTTCTCAGTAAAACCATATTTATTCAACTGTGTGTTAGGGACTTAAAGCGACAATGGGGCAGGAGGGTGGCTGCCAGCAGCCTTTCCTCCCAGAACAGCATCTTTGGGGGTGACGCGAAGCAGCAACGTGCTCACGTTGGCCCAGGGCCTGTAATGAGCGGCTAACCCAGATATAAGCTTCATATGACGTTTGCTTGAAACAGGCTGGTGCCTGCTACTAAATATTCCCTTATAAGCTAGTCTGGGTTTCAGCCTTAACGCGATTGATTTGTTCTGACCTCTTTTTATGGTGCTCTAAACAGAATCACAGTGAATTTCACATTCAAGCATGAAATGCTGACCCAGTCATTTTAAGGGCAAAGAGAAACATACTGGCTAGATGCCTCCTGCCCCGAGGGCTGGATGCCTGCGGCAGTAGAGTTGGGAGTTAGAACTGCTACATATAAATTAAGACTTACTGTTTTAATTAAGCCATTTTTAGTTCCTGCTCCCTAGGTATATGTTTCCCGCTCTTCTACAGTGAATGGCAAGGGGTTGAGTAGTTCAGGAGAAAAAACTCAGAGAAGGGAGGATGGTGCGTCTTGAGAAGAGTGGAGAAATAGGGAGAAAGAAGCTACTAAACTGTTATTCAAGAATAGTACCAAGGGACAGAGAGGAGGGGCTGAGCCTGAGGACGCTGAGCTGCTAGCTGCTCCCTGAGCTGCTGTGTTTCTCCACGTTTACAGCCAAAATCTGGATCTGTAGTTTTAGATTAACTGCATCTTGCCTGCTAAGTAGCGACAGGATCCATCTGAAATAGCCCAATTCTGGTTCAGCTCTTCCCCATCGTGCCCTCAGCTGCGCCGGGGCCTGGGCTTAGCAGAGCGGGGCTGGTGTCATCCTTGGGTGTCCCCTGTGATGTGCTAAGCTGATGTGTCTCTGTGGGCCTGGTATTTTGCAGCGGGAACTGAAGGCTCCTGTTGAGGAGTTTCCCGTGTAGCCTCAGTGCCCCTGAGATGCCTCTTCCTTCTTTTCCAGCAATCCCCCTCACTGCGTATGGACCAATGGCGGCAGCAGCGGCTGCGGCAGCCGTGGTGCGAGGGACAGGTAACTCCCACTTTCCTCCCCAGCGCGGTGTCTCGTCACGGAGGTTTGCGATGGGCTGCGGGAGGGGGGTGGGACGGGGTTGCATTTTTGGGATCTTCACTCTGTAGTTTTGTTGCCTCCCGTAGGTTCCACCCCCAGTCGCACCGGTGGATTTCTGGGCACCACCAGCCCCGGGCCGATGGCAGAGCTTTATGGAGCCGCCAACCAGGACTCAGGGGTCAGCAGTTACATCAGCGCTGCCAGTCCAGCCCCGAGCACCGGCTTCGGCCACAGCCTAGGGGTGAGTGTTCCCTGTGGGGCTCTGCGCAGGGGGAGGAAGACAGAGAGTGGCATGGCCAGGGGAAGGGGCTGCATCTCCAGCTGGTGATGGAGGTGAGCAGCGGTGGGTGGCCCCTTCTCAGCCCACAGCCTGTTTTCTGGTTAAGAAATGCCACCCACCGCAGCATCTGCGATGCCACCACTGAGCCCCAGACTGCAGATAGCTGGTGCAGGATGCAGCAGTTCACTTGGAGCCTGCATCCCTGGGTTCTACTGGCTCTCCATGGCCACCACTCAAGGTCCTGATCTCCAGACCTTTCCCTGATCTGGCATAGACTTTCCAAGAGCCCATCTTGGCTCTGACGTAGTGTCCTGCAGGGTGATGTGCTCTTCAGACCTAGTACCTCCAACTGAAACCAGCTTTCCCAGCATCTGGGCCATGATTGAATTTGTTGTGGTAGTGATTCTTCACTTTTCTTTTGTTTGCTTAAGAGTGGTGTTTTACCTCTTTCTTTGCAGGGTCCCTTGATTGCAACAGCTTTTACCAATGGGTATCACTGAAGCTGGGGACCAAGGAGGCAGGAGGTAAGAGAGCTTCGAGCAAGAGTGGGTAATGAGAGGGGTGAAGTTCTGAGCTGGCCCCTGCTCTTGGCCTCTCCCAGCTGTGGGTGCTGCTGTGAGGCTCGCTGGCCCGACCCAGCCTGCGAGAGGAGTCCTGTGGCCACCCTGGGGCTCTCCCCTGCACCAGAGGCTTGGCAGGTTGGGTTCTTTCCTCACGCTCCGCAGGCTGGTGAGTGCTGTGGGGACATCGCTTACTGTCTGGGCACAAAGGGGAAGGGAAGGTGAGCAGTGACAGAGGAAAGGTCTGCAGGGTTGGCCAGAACCACAGCCCAGTGGCGATCCTGAGAAAAAAGCTTGGCTCACTGTGTGGATGGGGAAGCTTCCTCCATGCAGCTGGTTGTTCTGCTACTGAGACCACTGTCTTTGGGGAGCGAGGTTTCTCCTCTCCTGCCTGGGAGAAGGCCAGAAGGAAAATCTGAGTCCAATCACTTCTTTTTCTGGTCCATTGATGGGCCTAAGAAGGAACTGGTGGATGGTCTCTGTTTGCTTTGCAAGTGTGGCTGAAGTTAGCTGGTTTAAAATTTAACAAACACCCAAATTCTCAAAAGCAAGGGCAAAAGCTTGCAGGGAACAATGTCCAGACAGGAGCCCGTGGCAGCCCGGCAGGGCTGCACTGAGCTGAGTGCTGGAGAAGCGGCTGGACCCTGCCGTGTCACAGGCCTCCCGGGGCCAGGAGTGCCACAGGTCTGGGCAGGCCGGCTGTGCGGCGTGTGGGGCCTTGTCTGCCAGGCCTGCGTGTTGCCATTAAAGGTGGAAGCACCTCTGGCGTGCCCCATTGCTGTGCCAGCCAGATGCAGAGCAAGTCTGTGTTGGGGCACGTTTGGGTGTCGAGCATGTCGGTCAGATCGCACCGGAAGGAAGAAAATCCCAAGAGAGGTGGTGTTGGTCGCTCTAGATCCTGTCGCTTCCCTCCCTCCCTGCTGTGTCCCGCAGATTCCCCAGTGACCTAACCGAGGACAGCGGCTGGAGGATCTGGTGAGCCTCGGGGGATGAGCCAAGGTTACCTTTTCTTGAATCAAACTGCACACTGCCGGCCGGCTGCCAGGCTCCTGCCGCCCTGCCCTGATCTCTCCCTTTGACCAGACCACACTGGACTGAACCCGAGGAGATCATCTCGCTTTCTTACTAACCACCGACGGTTTACGCTTCCCCCCTCCCTGCCCCCAGCCCACCGATTCTTCTTTTATTTATTTTATTAGCTGTTAGTTTTATTTTTTTATTTTATTTTTTTATCTTTTTTTGGGGGGGGGCTACCCCTTCTTTTTGTTGTTTGCTCCTTCCCGAGCTAGTAGACATATTTTATGAATTGGCTTTGTGATTGTGTTAGGTAGTTTTTATTGAGGAGTATTTTTATTTGGCTTTGAAACTGTTTTGAATATTTTCAACTCTGTTGTTGTTGTCGTCAGTGTTTTTAAAGCACGGTATGTAACAAGAATGCAGTTCTGAAGGGAAGAAAGAGACGCAGAGAGAGCAAAGGCTGAGAGGAACTGATGTATTTCTATTTTTTTTAAAGAAACTGTTTTTAATTGTTTCTGTTTTGTAAATGTGAGGCTTTGAAAAGTGTGAAACTCCAAGGATCCGAAAACGTTGGACATCGCTATGGAACAAAACAAATGTATATTTTGCTAAGTGAAAAACACTATCCTTACAGCTGAAAGAATTTTTTTTTTTTTCCTAGGTTTAGTTTTACGTGGGGTTTTCTTTTTCCTCCTGTATAATATGTAAATATCGCGAGCTGAACCTGGCTGCCTCCTGCAGCCTGGCTCCAAGGAGCAGCTCCAGGTCCTGGACTTGGTGCCGCAGTGTGAGCAATACTCTCCAGCAGAATCCTGACAGGACTCCGTTCTTTTTTTGTACACCTTTTACTGTAAGATTTTAAGACCTCTGATGAGATGAAAAGGGGGGGTGGGGGTGGGGGGCGGGGGTGAAAACGTACCGGCCATCGGCTGTTTTGCTGAGCGGGTTAAAGCTGCTTCCAATCGCTCGATGTACAGACTCCATCACTGGGCTCCGTAGCGCCAGCCTCGGGCTCGGCTTTAGGTAAAGGGCTTTACCGCCATCGCTTGTCTTGGTTACTTTGAAAAGAATTCACTCTCCAAACACTATCGCTCGCGTCAAGATTTCCTGGGGAAGGGGGGATCCTCCTCCGGAGGCGAGGGTATCGGAGCAGGGCGCTGGGTTGGGGAGTCATTAACGGGGGGAGAAAAGCATTAGGGTGGTGATTTGGGGGCGGGTTAAGGGCTTCTCAGGGATTATATGAATTATAGAATTGCAGCTTCCCGTTTGCTTTACTCTGTGTTCTGAAGACTGTGGGAATTTATCCGTTGTCCTGTGTGGGGGTGATCTTGGTCCCTTCTCCAGAACCTGCTGGGGCTTCCCCTGGCGTGGTCCAGGCCGCTGCTAACGAGCCCTCTGCCAGGGGACGCCCTCAGCAGGAGTGACGGGGCAGGTTTGGGTCTGGATTTCAGTGAACCAAAGACCTTGTTAAGGGGGGTGATTAAGCCTTTTATTAAGATGCAGCCAAACTCTTTTCCCAGGGAAATACCAGCTTCATCTTAAGTTTTAAAAATCATTCCCTCTCTTCCCCCAAACTGAGCCCCTGTGAGGGAGAGGGGCGTTTGGAACAGGACCAGGAGAGCCACAGTGCCCACGGGGCCCTTCTCTTCCATCCCTCCCCCCTCTGCCGGGGCTTGTCCTGACCTGGGCGATGCGTTTGGAGAGTTCTGTTTAGGTAAGAGGGTACTTAACAGATTAGTACTGAAAACACAAAGCAATAATTTTTGTTACTGAGACAAGAGTCTGTATGTCTGTTTTTTTAAAATATTTCCTAATTAAAGAAGAGCTGCATTTTATTGGGTTTATTTTTATTCTATATACTTCAAATTTGGGTCTGCGGACAGCGCTTTCCTCCCTCTTGGTATATGCGCTGAACTGCTTCTGTGCCCCCTCCAGACATCCAAGGCCAGCTGTGCTGCTGCTGGGCTGTGATTCACTCTCTGGCCAGTGCTGCCACTGCCTGGAGGCTGGGGCTCCGGTTTCAGGGTGGGCATTTTTTTTAAAAGAAATAAAGCTGTGTTTTTAAGCCAGTAAGTTATTACACTCCGATGTTTGTTCTCTCCACACCTGTAACCCTTTTTCCAGATTTCAGTTTTAAATTCCTAATAAATTATTTGAAAACTGTCCTTTTCTGTCTTTATTCAGGGGCGGGAGATTTTCAAATGGAGGAGATTTCAGGTGAATCTGGCCCTGGCAGGAGTCGCGTCCTGCCAGGAGGATAAAAGCCTCAGGCAGGGGCTCTGTGTTCTGCTCCCAGCCTTTGGCGGTGGCCCAGCTTATAATGTGAGGTGAATCTGGTTTTAGCAGACATGGTTTCTCTTCTCTACATTACAGGGGTTTTGTGTAGATATTTGTATGTTCAAGAAAGGAGGAGATAGTGTGGTGCTTACAGGTTTGGCTGAGGTGCTCTGGAGTCAATGACCAAGGAGGACCAAGGAGGCTAAGATGTAAGTAAAATGTGGAGATGGGAAGGGAAGAAAAGTCCTTAATAGACAACACCGTAGGAGAAAGGGGAATTCTAAGAGTGGGAAAGGGTAGGGAACCCTGTGCAGCAGGTCTTAATTACAGAGAATTCTTAAAAACAATCCAAGGCTCAAGCCTGTATTTTTGGGGAAAACCAAAAATAGCATTGGTGGAAAAATCTTAACCCTCCTGGGATTTTTCTCATGAGTCACTCTTGTAATGCTCACATGCTCCTTTTCCCACACCTGGTGACCCTCTTGTTGAATTAAAATGTAGGGAATCCAAGATATGACAGTATTTTTTATTTGTGTCTTTAAAAGGCCAGTTTACTGGAAATTTTCCTGGCAACATCAATAATAAATCAGACATTGATAAGTGAGGAAAAAGGCACCACAGAGTCTTCAGGCTCACAGGTAAGAGAACTTATAGAAAAAAAGGAATACAGGTGGCCAAAGGAGCAAAGGAGAAAGAACACTTAAGTGGATATTGAAGGGAAAGCCAGCAGACTGGTCTGTGAGCAAAAGATTACATCCTTGTTTGTGAACTAAGTGTGGTACAGACTGTCCTTTACATCAGCCTTTAATGTTTGTTCGACGTTCTCACTTTTGGGACGTGAGAGTCTTGAATCTGTAACTCTGCATCTGTTTGGCTTCAGCTCACCTGTGAGCAGGGAATCCCAGAGCATCGGAGGAGAGCTTGTGTTCGAGCCCAGTTTGTTTCCAGTGTAACTCCCTTAAGGTCACATGAAAACAGACACTATTCCTTGTTTAAAAACCAGATACAGAGCCTTTCCAGGCTGCTTGGCTCCTGTTTCCTGCCCAATAGTACCTATTCCTCCTAAATGGTTTCAAAGTGAAAAGCAGCGTGAGTTTTTTTTTCAGTTCAGCTCATGCCAAATGGCCATTTGGGAAGAGTGGGTGACCTGTACCTTAGTCTCTGAATCAGGCCAGGAGAAAATATGGAGAGATACAGGATGCTCTAAGACGATGATACCAGTATTAGTAAGATTTCCAATTGGAAAATTGCCAGTAATTGCCACCATAACTACCGCACTGCTGCTGTTTTTTCAGTAGAGGGCCCTTAAAAACATCCAGATCCTTTCACGCTGGCTTCTGCTATTAAAAGAATTTAATAGCAAAAATCTAGAGAGCAAATATTTGCCTTTCTGGCTTTCAGAGAATTTACTCCAGTGGCCTTCACCTGGTGATGTCACCACCTGCTGCCCTCAGCCTCCAGTGGAAGAAGTCTACATTTAGTAACATGAATATCTGCCTTAGTTTACTTATGCCCGTGTCAAGGTGAGCTTGTCATATAAAGAGCTGTGTTTTCTTGGTCACCAGTCTCTCTGTCAGGTCCTGCGACAATGAAGTCCCTGGCCCTGCTTTTCCTGCTGTCTGGTGTGTAGGTGACACCCCCCCTGGGACTAGGAACACCCTGCCTAACTCTAACCTCTGTGTCTCTTCGCAGTGGGCGCTGCCAGCGCTGCCGGTTCCTCCCGGGCCGTGTGGGAGTTTCGCAAAATGATCAAATGCACCCTCCCGGAGAGCCATCCCCTGCTGGACTTTGCGGACTACGGCTGCTACTGCGGCTTGGGAGGCCACGGGACTCCAGTGGACGAGCTTGACAGGTTTATGGCTCTGCTTTTACAACCCTCTTCCCTTGCCTGTGCTTTCAGGGTTCTTTCTGCACGCCAGCCACCTCTCGGCTGGCCCTGCCTATAACTTCATACAACTCTCTGGCTGCTGTGAATGAAGCTTTCTCTCAAAGACTCATCAAAGGGAAAAAGGAAGCATAGTATCGCACCTTGATGCCTTAGTAATAAGATAAAATAGGATCCCAGCAACTCTGTTTTCTGTTCTGTGGCAGTTAGACTGCGCTTATTCCAGCATGGGTTTTTTTTTCAGCGGTGCGGTGCCTGGTCACAGCTCTCTGAGCACACTCTGCCCAGTGCACGGCCGTCCACGCGTGCAGGGCTCAGCTGCAAAACGCTAAGAAATGACTGTAATTTAGACATGACACAAGACTGACAGCCAAGATGCAGTGAATTGTGTCGGCCATTAGCTCTTCAGCTACCGGGCACTGACGGGTTGCGTAGGGTAAATGCTGGATTTTCCTTTTTCTGTGCCCAATGGAGAACTCCGTGAAGATGCTCCAGTTCATTACACGTGTACCAGACACCTCTCGGACCATTAGTTGGCAGAACCATGTCCCTTTGAGGTCCTTTGTGTCTGCCCTCTTATTACTGGCTATCCTTTGTTTTTGTTTTGTTCAGTGCCTTGTCAAAGTAATACTAGCAGATTTATATGTCTTACAGGTCAGCTGAGTTTGCATTTCTGGTATTTTCTGATCTTTTTCCTCCTTGTTTCCCAGGTGCTGTCAAGTGCACGATAACTGCTATTCGCAGGTGAAGAAACTCGATTCATGCAGATTCCTGCTGGACAACCCCTACACAAATGCATACAGCTACAGCTGCTCCAACGGGGAGATTACATGTAGCAGTATGTCCTCTTCCATGTCACTCTGCTTCAAAGGCTCCTCCACCCTCTCTTCTGCAGGAACATGGCTGTGTTACACTGGATGCAGCCGTGGCAGGAAGGCACAGCCCAAGTCCCTGCCAGGGGGGGTTCTGCTTGTTAGAAACTGGGTACCCACACAGGCACCCAAGGGAATATTCTCCATGTAGCACACAATTTAAAGTTTACGGAGGATACATGGTATCACAGTACGTAGGGAATAGTTTATGGAGGATACATGGTATCACAGTACGTAGGGAAGCCTGTCCCTTCTTCAGGGGATCGCATCTCTGTGGTATTTTTCTGGGAGTCCCTTTAATGGCATCACTGCAGAGAGAAAGAATATGCCGGAGTATCCCACAGAGCAGCATCCTGGATAGCTTCTGCCAGCCACATAACGTAATGGCAGAGCTTTTATAGGGCTCTTGGATGGAGATAAATAGCAGATAGGCTGGCAAATAGAACTGCAGGTAAGGAAGGAAGGAGACTGCTGCCCTGAGCGTGCATCTTTGGCGCCAGAGGGTTATTGGGGAGAAGTACATACACCCCCAAAATGACGGCAGCGGTGAAACAGCAATGCCCTGGCAGCACAAACTGAGTCACTGCCATGCCCGGCGAAGGAGCTGAGGGTCTGACCGCTCCTGCTCTCTCCTCCAGGCAAAAACAAAGAGTGCGAGATGTTCCTCTGCAACTGTGACCGCACCGCCGCCATGTGCTTCGCCAAGGCGCCCTACAACCCCGACCACGCCAAGCTGGACACCGCGAAATACTGCAACTAGCCCGCCTCCTCCTGCCCTTCGGGGCGGCAACAATCCAGCGGCGGTCTATCACTAATAAAACCCTCATTAACAACCCGACGCCTCCCTCCTGCTCCTTGCGCCGCGTTGAGGCAAATGGCGGGCGGGCACTGAGGGGAGGCCCCGCCCCCTCCGCCAACGGGCCATTGTGGCGCGCGAGGCACCCCCCCCTCCGCCTTCTCTGATTGGCCCCGGCGGGCGCGAGGCCGGCGGCAGGTGCGGCGCGCGGGGGGCGGCCCCGCCCATTCTCCCCTCAGGGGGCTGAGGGGGCGCGGGGGTCGCTGGCTCCCCGCCGGGGCTCGTCAGGGGCAGGCACCGCTCCTCGGGCTGCTCACGCGTGGGTTACAGCGTAACTGACCCTCTTGTGGGTGCGTATCCCTCGGGGTGTGGTGCTGCGAGGGGGTTGAGTCCTCCGTCTGGCTGTTCGCTGCTCCCACAGACCCGTATGTGTATACTCTGGGGAGGCCTTGTGCTGCCCAGCGCTGGTCCCGGCCCGCAGCGGTAGGGAAAGGGGTAACATTGGCCTGGAAGTCAGGGGAAGGATGGAAGCCCCTCTGAAGGACAGTGTCTGCTCCAGTTTTCCTGGCCTGACAAGCTCCTGCGCTGGGTGCGCTTTAGGGTGTAGAGAGATGGGGGTCGGTCTCTTTTCTCAAGTCACAGGCGACAGGACAAGAGGAAATGGCCTCAAGTTGCGCCAGGGTAGGTTCAGGCTGGATATTAGGAAAATTTTTTTCACTTAAAGGGTTATCAGACATTGGAATGGGCTGCCCAGGGAGGTGGTTGAGGCACCATCCCTGGAGATGTTCAAAAGACGGGTTGATGTAGTGCTGGGAGGTATGGTTTAGTGATGATGCTCCTTGTTTGTTGTGCGGGTGTCTGTTTTTGTCAGTTAGGTTGACAGTTGGACAAGATGATCTTTAAGGTCCCTTCCAACCTAGAAGATTCTGTGATTCTGTGAAATTTCCACCCAGACTTGGTGCTCTCCCCAGAGGCAGCTCTATGGGCAGAGCCCCTCAGGAGGGTGTTGGTGAGCTCCTGTGGCAAGGGCTGCTCATGGCCCTGTTTGCTGACTGGGCAGGAGGAAAGCCCTGGAAGGCCCAGAAAATAACTCTCTCACCTCCACCAGCTGGAGAGGAGCATACAGCCTGCCCTGTCATCTCTGATCAGGTACAGAATAGAGGTCTTGGATGAGTTTGGTAACAAGTGCTCCCTCACTATTTCATTTTGCAAGCTGTTCTCTTTAGAGGACTTTGAGGAGCAGTCTTTGCACTGCAGAAACATGGTGAAGGAAGAAGCTGGCTTGTTATCTTATTTGAAGGCACTTGCAATGCCTTCCTCGTGAGGATCACTGGAGCTTTGAGGGTATTAGGATGGTAAGGAGATAGAATGGTGAATTGCATTTTTTTAAAGAGTGTGTGTATCTCAGCTGAATGCTCCATATTGAATCCCAGTTTTATACCAGTATTCATTGCTTATTTTTCTTCGGGTGTTTGTGTACATGAATTTTCTGGAAATACTGATCTCTTGGGGTCCTCCACAGAAATCCTTAGGATCCTGGATGCACTCCTGTCATACAGTTAGGATGAATCATTTCTAGGGCTGGAAGTGCAATATGAAGTCTCCTGTCCTTACACGCTAGCTTTGATTCTGAAATTATTGTTTGTAGAGCGGTAAAGGTTCTAAGTAAATGTAAATGTTACTGAAGTCCCTTTGTAGTGGTAAATGATAAATCCCAATTTAGAGAAAAATTTAAAATACCATTACTATCTAGAAGAAACACTGTACTTTTGAGCTATATCATCGCAAGCAGGGAAGAGAGCTGGGGTGCAGTTGGAAGCATTTCAGAAGCTCTTGGTATAAATTTTCCTTGTCGTAGGAACTCTCCAGATTTGAGGTGAGTAGTGTATCTGCTCCTGGCACCCAGCGTTTGGGGCATGTTAGTATTCCCTAGGTAAACTCAGTGGGTAGATGAAGGCACCAATTTGTTCTGTATCTCTCTTACTCCTTACAGATTTTATGAACCTCCACTTACGTTTGGCCCCTTGATGGCACTTCTCATTTACATGCTGCTTTGGTGGTGCAAAAGACCTAACAGTAGATTTAACTGGCCCCTAAGTGAGTCCATACGTAGGGGTTCTTCCCACATAACATAAAGTGACAGGTCCTAGGCAATGGGAGAGGCAGGGAGGGTTGAAGGGGTTGTGCTCTTATCCTGTTTTATTGTGGAGAGTGTTCCTTGGAAAGACGGAGACAGTATGGAGGTCGGAACAAGGCTCAATATTTTTTTCCATGGTGCAATTTAGAGAAAAATTTAAAATACCATTACTATCTAGAAGAAACACTGTACTTTTGAGCTATATCATCGCAAGCAGGGAAGAGAGCTGGGGTGCAGTTGGAAGCACTTCAGAAGCTCTTGGTATAAATTTTCCTTATCGTAGGAACTCTCCAGATTTGAGGTGAGTAGTGTATCTGCTCCTGGCACCCAGCGTTTGGGGCATGTTAGTATTCCCTAGGTAAACTCAGTGGGTAGATGAAGGCATCAATTTGTTCTGTATCTGTCTTACTCCATACAGACTTTTATGAACCTGCACTTAACGTTTGGCCCCTTGATGGCGCTTCTCATTTACATGCTGCTTTGGTGGTGCAAAAGACCTAACAGTAGATTTAACTAGCCCCCAAGTGAGTCCATACGTAGGGGTTCTTCCCACATAACATAAAGTGACAGGTCCTAGGCAATGGGAGAGGCAGGGAGGGTTGAAGGGGTTGTGCTGTTATCCTGTTTTATTGTGGAGAGTGTTCCTTGGAAAGACAGAGACAGTATGGAGGTCGGAACAAGGCTCAATACCTTTTTTCATGGTGGTTTTGGGAGACTGTTTCTTGAGGACTGGAAGACAGAAACTTTACCCAGCTTGTCTGACATTTTCAGTGACTGTGTGAACTGTGGGGAGACTGCTCAGGTCTACTACAACATGCCTGGCAGAACTTGCTCCCAGAGCCAGACACTGTTTTGCCACCTGGAGAGAAAAGAGCAGGTTCAATACCACTCTGTACAAATATGGTGTTTGTGCTGTGGCTGTTTGTACAGCAGTTATTTGCAGCACAGAGGACAGCAGGCAATTTATCCTGGCTTAATAGATGGGAGAAGTGTTTTTAAGGTAGTGTGAAGAGAACTGAATATAGGTGGAGTGTAACAAGTGAGGGAGTGGAGGTGATGGCGTGCAACAGTGTGTGCAAGGGTGGGTCTGGAACCTGACTTCCTAGATGTGAGGGCTTGCTGAGCAAATGCTTAGGTGCTCATCTCTGTGCCCCATTGAGCTGAGCTGCATACTTCTGTTTAGAAAGAACGTAAATGCTCAGTTGATTTAGTTGCTCTGTCATGCTCCCTTACCGCCTTGAACTGCTGTTGTCTCTTGACAGTGAGGATGAGATGAATTTGTAGGCTATTTGTTCTCTGTGACTGTGATTAGCACATGCTTCCCTCCCACCGTATCTGCATGGGGAAGGTGGGTAAAAGGCTGTTAAAAGGGACTTCAGCTCCCTTCCCCAATACACCAAGCATAGTGTTGCTGCAGCAACCAGTAGGGCAACTGCTGCTGACTCCAGTTCTGTATCCCAATAGTGTGTGCCATAAAAGGCCTTCTCTGTCCAGTATGGGTAGCTATACCTCTGTTATGGTTTGAGAAAACCCATAACAATCTATTGTCGTTTAGACAATTATTCTATCGCCTGATGACCCCTCCCCACCCAGAAAGGGAAATCGGGGAACAGAAAGAAACACAAGGGTTGAAATATAAATAGATTTAATAGACTAAGACTGAATAATTAACAATAATACTAAAGAACCAGTATTAATCCCAATACCGATATAAGATACAGGAATTCTACTCAGCCAGTTATGCCTTGAACTGCTGTTGTCTCTTGACAGTGAGGATGAGATGAATTTGTAGGCTATTTGTTCTCTGTGACTGTGATTAGCACATGCTTCCCTCCCACCGTATCTGCATGGGGAAGGTGGGTAAAAGGCTGTTAAAAGGGACTTCAGCTCCCTTCCCCAATACACCAAGCATAGTGTTGCTGCAGCAACCAGTAGGGCAACTGCTGCTGACTCCAGTTCTGCATCCCAATAGTGTGTGCCATAAAAGGCCTTCTCTGTCCAGTATGGGTAGCTATACCTCTGTTATGGTTTGAGAAAACCCATAACAATCTATTGTCGTTTAGACAATTATTCTATCACCTGACGACCCTTCCCCACCCAGAAAGGGGAATCGGGGAACAGAAAGAAACACAAGGGTTGAAATATAAATAGATTTAATAGACTAAGACTAAATAATTAACAATAATACTAAAGAACCACTATTAATCCCGATACTGATACAAGATACAGGAATTCTACTCAGCCAGTTATATCAGCAGAAGCTGTGCACTCCCAGCAGGGACAGCAAATGTCAGACACAGCAAGCGCAATGGCTTTGGGAGGAAGGGAAGGGCTCACGACCCTTCCCCACCCAGAAAGGGGAATCGGGGAACCCAGTGAGCGCAATGGCTTTGGGAGGAAGGAAAGGGCTCAGGGGTCCAGCACCGGGGCAAGGAGTTGTCTGGACCCGCCACCAGCAAGGGAGAGAGTGAGCTATGCAGCAAACTTTTCTAATTGATACGCAGCAAGGGAGAGAGTGAGCTACGCAGCAAACTTTTCTAATTGATACTGAATGTGACATTCATGGTATGAAATCCTGTTGGCCAGCCTGGGTCTAACGCCCCGGCCTTGCTCCTCCCTGTCCCTACACCTGGCAAGGCTCAAAAACACTAGGACCTTGAATCCCACAGAGCCTGGCTGGCTATAAAGTAAATATTTTCACAAATTCAGACACTAGAGTCTTCTAGAAGTGCAATTTTCCCCAGTATTAGAAGAAATCAGTCCTGTGTCTCTCAACTCAGGACAACCTTCTTCCCTATAAAGTGGTTGAGGTGATTCATCTGCTAAATGCTGCATACAAGCACTGTCTTGTTTTTTAAACTGCGAAGTAGTGGTGGTGTGGGTTTAGTAACAGCCTAAGAGTATTCAGTAGATTACTTCAGCAGAGCGTTAAGTGTAATAGGACAAGCTGGAG